GGCTGCCTTTGCGAGAATGACCTCCAATAAATAAATAAATAAAACGGACACCTCTACTAGGAGATGGGTAAAAAGGAACAGGTCCCCGCCCTTGCGATCTTTGTGCAGGGTTCTTTGTGGGTGTGGTCGGCGACTAGCCGGGGTCGTCCTCCCGATGGGGGACTAGCACTAGCCGTCTTCCACATGGTCCCTCGGGTCCCTGCTGCTCCTAATCTCTTCGTACATCCTCCTGCTGATCTCCGCAACGTCCTGCTCCCTCCCTCGTCTCGCCCTGCGCGCCTGCTCCGCCTCACCGTCGTCTGCCCTGCGTCGTCTGGTGACGGGTCCTCCGTAGTCGGTCGAGGTCGCCGCCCTCCTCGTGCCTCTTCCCAACGTTCCCTCGGCGGTCGATGCCGTCTGGTCCGCCTCCGCCGTCCCCGGGTCTGACCTGCCCTCGTCTGCACTAGCTTCTGTTTCGTCATCACTGGCGCCTCTCCTCTTCTTTCTCCTCTTCTTGTATGCTTTGTACATTGCGTCGATTCCTTTTCGCGTGAGCACCACCCTGAAGCTCGCCCAGCAGCGGAACCGCTCCCTAAGTCGAAGGAGCATCATCAGTCTCACCCACTTCGCTCGCTGCCCACTGTCTCCGCTCCCTCCCGCTTGAGCTGCGGTCGCGGTCCTCGTTCGTCCCGCTGGCTGCTGGCCTGTCTGCACGTTGCCTCCGTTATCCCTCCTCCTCCGCGACTCCCTCAAGGCCGGGCGGGCCTCCTTCCACCCAGCGAAGAGCTTCCTCAGCCACTCGATGTGAAAATCGATTACCAACGGCAAGAGAGAGAGAGATTTCTCTCTCTCTCAACGGCAACGCCCAACGAAGAATTTTCCAGTAAAAGAAAGAGTGTCTGCTGTTCCCGGAAAGTGAGAAACGCTCGGGCAGCGTGGCGCATCTACTTGAGCACTTGAGCACTGGATAGGGTCGATTCCGCATGGCGGGTACGGGACCCCCCCCCGTCTGCGTGAGTGCTTCACGACACGTTTTGCGCGTCTATTCCGCTTGCGGGTTGGCTCCCGAGTGACAGCCCCGTCATGGAGTTCCATGCGATGGCCAGGGATTCGAGCGGAGGGTGCCCCGGATTCATCTATCCGTTGGGCCCCGGCACCTATTTTAGAACTGATCACTTTGCGCAGCAGCCGTCGGCCGCCGCTTTTTAGCTGGACGGCAGTGCGCTGCGCCGTCGCTCTGTCGTGCACGCTCTCGTGCTTCGTTGTGACCCACCCTGTCCCACCCGTGTGTGATCAGTGTCTACGGAGGGAGTGTCTTTGGCTCACGCCAGGGCGCTCGTTGCTCCTCCGTCTCTTTGTATCTTCCATACCTAGGTATGCGTTTATCAGCTCGCCTTTCGAATTTTCGCTTCGCGCGCTAACGACATCGATTCTCACGACACGTTTTGCGCGTCGATTCCGCTACCTGGGTAGGCGGGTACCCGGTACGGGTACGTCCATCGGCTACCGGGTAGCCAGTCGGTGAGGCTCACGCGTCGCTGCGCCAATGGCGTCGCCTGACGCGCCATGGTTGACGGGGGCATGGTCGACGACCGCGCTCACCCTCTGCATGGCCTCACACGAGCGGCTCGGCGAGAGGTCTCCCCTCCGGCTGGTGGCGTCGCACGCCGATCTCCTCCGCTGCATCATGCGCTTCATAGAGCTGATCGTGCCGGACGACGCGCCCTCGCTGGCCGTAGCCATCGCGCGTGCCGCGCCGGGGCAGCGCATCCTGCTGCGCCGGGGCGAGCACCACATCGACTGCGGCGCCGCGCTGCAGCCGCTGAGCGCTCTGCCGCTCGCCATCCGAGGCGAGGTGGGCGCGGTCGTTCGAGGCACGCTCGTGCTCGGCGCCGGCGGCGGCTCCATCCACGGCGTGCGCTTCGACGACGCCGGCGGCAGCTGCCTGTAGAGGTGACAGGTCCAGGTGTT